AATTTCTAGCTGAGATTTTGGGTTCGTAATTTGAGATTCGTATTCAGAAAAGACACTATAATCGTCACTACTTACACTATTTACACTAGTATTTAATTGATTGATACCTTCATATAGTATAGAGTTTGAATGACCAATTAACTCACTCACAGGAACCGAATCCGTGTCCTGGTGATTACAACTCCCGATTTGGTCATGTTTTGGATCTTGTTGCGAATCACTGCCACTACTGATCTTGTTCTTCTTCCTTTTGTTTCTTCGCATTATTATATACGTTATACCCACAATAAGAAGATATTTGACCAACAAATAGACCATCATCTGTAGAAATTTCACAGACTATCCAGTTAACCACAAAGAGCGAAAATCCGTGAGTCCATCTTGTATAATCACGTGACCTCGTATGATAATACAATATGTACATCATTATCTACTAATTCCATGCTCATATTTACAAACAATTGTTTTACAATGGTAAAATTTGGGTATTCTCCACTCCATTGTATGTCATTTGTGTGCTTTAATGTCAGTGAATATAATTTTTACGTGTATTCCATCGTCCAAAACATTCTACTCTATGGTGTACTCACGTGATGTCTTGTATAAATGACCTTCGATAGCCATTTACAGTTTACTATTGTATTAGCTACTGACCAAGGTACACGTCGTACAGCAATAAACTTACGTTATTAAATGCATTAACCATTAATTTCTAATCAACAAATAACAAAATTACGACGTATAACACCAACAGCATGGCAAATGTACAAATATCAAATTATAAAAACTACATGTAGATTCTTGTTACTTGTAAAGACTTTGTGAGCGGTATTTCAACGTACTATTTAACACGGAAAATTGGTTTTGTTTGTCAATGTGAGCATGGGAAATCTTAATTAATACCTAATCTTCCTATTTTTAACAAAAAAGTAGAAGATAGTTATTTGTTGACTTTCCCGCAGTCATTTGAAATCGTGTCGTAAATTTGCCTGAACCATGTGTTTGAATTAAAATGTAAACATGTAATAGACCAGCACGCTTTTTTGTTCATTCATTGGATTGGACCATTGTTCGCGGTAAACACTGCCTTGCGCAACCACAACAATATCCATACAAGGTAGATTCCTCGACCTGTTAAAGATAGAGAATTTGTTCGACAACGGGCACCTCGGAAAATCAAAGACACACACATATGGGTGAACGAACAATTTCCACCAGAAATTGAGGAAAAACGCAAAAAACTATAACCTGTTGTCCGATTGGCGAGGAAATATGACAGCCGTGTCAAACTCGTTGGCGATGAATTATACATCGGTGACAGACTTTACGTCCCCCCCCCCCAAAAAAAAACAGAGGAAACGCTCGGGGCCGAAGGAGGATCGAACCCAAACCAAGGCGATCATACTACCAACGAGGCTCACCGCGGGTGCCCGAACCACAGCCGACGCAGGAGTGACCGATCAAAAGATTTCGTAGAGGGTCAACGCCACAAAAATAGGAAACCGCTGGAGAACATAAGCGTGACGAAATCAGATTTCTCGCTTTAAATGTCTGCGGAATAAACAAAAGACTCCAGTACAAGACTTTATAACAGAATTCGATGGCTTGTGTTTTGTTGAAACTAAGACTGATGATTCTGAAGAAATAAACGTTCCTGGATATCTACTTTTCTTAAAAACAGAACTAAACTGTCTAAAACATAATCAGGTGGGACAGGGCTTCTAGTTAAGGACACATATGTGAAATACATAAATGTCAAAGAAACAGATTGTAAATACGTTCTTTGGTTTAAAATGAGTAAGTTGCTAATTAATTCCAATGAAGATGTTGATTTTTGGATTGTGTATACATACAGCAAATATTCATCCTCTGATTGTTATTTGGAAGTTGAACAAGAATTGCATGAAAAAATAGTAATTATGTTTGTTTATTAGGAGATTTTAATGCTAGGGTTGGAAAACTACAAGACTATGTTTTAAATCATGATTGTGACGTAAACCTTTTGTGTGTGTTGTCCATTCTATAGCTTAATGTTGAGCTAAATCCCTAAACAATCCATTAATTTACCTGCAAGTGTCCATTCTTTTTGGAAAACTGTCCATTCTTTTTAAGAATGGATAGTTTTTCCAAAAAGAATGGACAGTTAAAACAAACAAAATGGAGAGTTACAGGTAAACTTTGGAAAGTGTTCAAGAGGGAACATAAACAAATACATTAAATACGATTTAATTTGCATGTAAATAACAAAAAAAGAAAGAAAGCGGAGATCTAAGTTAATCCAGAACACTGTCTGAACAGCATCCACTCGATTTTACTCTTTTAAATCGATGAATTATTCACATTATATCAATACTCAGAACTCAATTTTCACAAAACTTGAATTTAATAAATGACACAAATTGATATTTGATTTAAATTTCGGAAAAAAATCATTCCCTCGAGGAGAATTCATTTTAAGATCGAAAGTTTGGCTAATATTTGTTTTACTCTTCGCTGTTTCCAGATCCAAATATCACTGATTTTGTGCATCTTTTGGTTCCAAAGATTTTGATTCTGCCATACTGTCTCCATCGGAGCAAAACGTGTATGCCTTTACAACGCAAACTATAAACTGATTTTGAAGTATCGCATACTTGTATAAATACTAGTATCCCCCCAATTTCACCTGTAGCTGTCCATTCTTTAGACGAAGACCTTTTGTTATTTGCATCTGGAAACACAATGGCTATTCAACAAATTGCCGTGCACCCCTAGCTTACCTGTGACTGTCCATTCCGTAAACAATGAACTTGTCATTGTATGTGTGCTACCGGTCATATCTGATACCAGTTTTGTACATTTTTTATTTAATTTTCAGAACAAAGGAAATGATGTTTTAAGTAGGAGAAAGGCCTCAAACTGTCCATTCTGTGAGAGAAAAAACAAATCTTGGGCCTACGGCCCTCGATTAGTTCTTTCTCTCACAGAATGGACAGTTTGAGGCCTTTCTCCTTTATATAACTGACGATTTTTTTAGCAAATGTCCAAAACTGTAATAATGTAACTCAGTGTGAAAATACAGATATTAATTCATTTGAAACTTGTGGGATTCCACCGGTCAGAACAATCAAAGATTTAACAAGCAATAATTTTAGTTACAAATTAGTAGATTTATATGTCAACAACAATCTACGGTAGATACGGAAGTGACAAGTATACAGGTGCTCTCACATGAAAGAACAGCAGTACTGTTGAATACGTAATGCATGATTCAGCAAATTTAATGTTGTAGATTTTTGTAACATATTCTGACGCACACTAGTGATGGAACTTTTGAAACTTAAATGTACATGTATGTATTCTAATATACGTTCTAATTACACAGGTAAATACGAAGGTGTCGGTCTATATATTTTCACCTAATTTTTTCCCCATAAGAAATGAATTACCGGGAAATTACTCGTTTTCTCTGATCATATATTAATTGACAACGTTTATGAACAGCTGTTTCAACACAGGTCTGTGTAAACCGGTAAATCACAAGAAAGAAAAATCTGAACCATAAAAACATAGAAAATATATACATGTCTCTGGAAATAACATTCTCTTTAGATAACTTAAATCAATTAATGTCCGCCGATTTATGAATGAATCCGAACATTCATTAATGTGTACCTGTACACACAGTGTGTCACTTTTTTAAGCCTTCGTCTTAACGAACGATATAATTTAAATCTTGAACGAATTAACTCACCCCTTCAGTACACACACATTCACCTACACCTAAAATCTAATCAAAATCAGATCTTTGTTACGGCCCGAAATTCTGATAGTCGCTGTATTTCTAATCTGATTGACTATACCTACTTAATTTTCTTCGTTTTATTAACTATCTTCACTTTCTTTTCTTTAAATCCTATGTTTTTTTTTGTTTTTTTTTTTTTAATGTTTACCTTAATTATAAGAAATCCATGCAGGTGCCCCACGTGTCAACTATTGTGATAGAAGTACACTGTACTTGATTATAATACATTCATACTACTGGCTTTCAAAACCCCTGTCCGTATGAAAATCCTCTGTCTTTCTCTGTAACCTACAGCATTTCAACAATTATCTACGGTATATCTACAGTATGGTACGGTATGTCTCCTCTGCATATACAGTAATTCTCAGTATGGCATTGTATGTATCCCCAGCATGCCACAGTTACCTATAATAGGCCCCAGTACGCCAACGGTAGGCCCCAGTATGGCTACTGCTTCGTATAGTGACCTACGGTATGCCACAGTATATGCCCCAGTAGGCCCCTATATTGTTCACCGAAGCAAAACGGAAGAAGAATACACACTTCCAGAGGCGCTGTTTATCTAAGATGTGAGCTCGAGGTTGTCAGTTCAGTACACAGGATTATTTCCTTGAAAAACTTCTGAACATTATTTTATACACATAGTAATACAACTGAAGTCAACTGATACGGGTCTCGTGATCCACATTAGGCAAAAACTTCACGCATATGTTATTGCCACAAAGAAAATATCGAAATGGTCAATAATGTTGACTGATATGAAGTGTACATTTCTTGCTGATAAAATAACAAAAATACGCTATAAACATTAAAACTGTTATAATTATTAATGTATTCGTACATTTCATTATGTTTACAATTGTTAAGTGACTTATAGGGTTATGCTGTAATTCTGAAAAGTTTACAAATCATTACTTCAAGCAAAAAAAAAAAAAAAAAAAAATCATCAATTAATGAATTTTATTTGTTATTTTTTCATTATTTATTAATTAATTAATTAATTAATTAATTAATTAATTAATTAATTTATTTATTTATTTATTTATTTATTTATTTGTTTGTTTATTTATTTGTTTGTTTTTAGTTTATTCCTTCATTCATTCAAAAAATATTTAATCTAAAGCATCAAATTGGGAAGGGCATGCATTACGACCAATAATTTTATTCACTTAGAGTACGGCTACATTAGAGACCTAAATGTATAAACTGATTACATTTTTTCGCGTTACGAAGTATAGCGAAAAATAATTGTCCTGACGACATGTAAACGAATACGAAAGTGTGGTGTTACTAAGGTGAAATTGTTATGTAGGTTTCAGCCAATGAAATGTCGGTATTGAGAAAACGTGTTCGATTGTATTTACGGGTGGTTAGTAAGAGTTCACTTTCTAGCGCACGCTATCCCGAGCAAGTCGTGTTTTGGTCATGGACGCCAGGCAGGTACAGAGTGCAATTTCTGAAGAAGTTAATCGAGCTGTGTCTCGTCAACAGTCGGAATTGTTAGAAAATCTAAAAGATATGATGGACAGTCGTTTGACAGTATTCCAACAAAACATTCAGCTTTCCACGTCTCAAATCAGCAAAATTGAGGAAAATTTGAATGAGCATTATGTTTTCCGTAAAAAAGGAAATGAGAACCAATATAAACATGAAGCGAAAGTTCTAACCAAACTGAAGGAGGCCAGGGAGCATTTGAACAGCGACGACGGAGTGGAGTCAGCCAAAAGCAGTATCGCTGAAGGTATAGAATTGGTTAAGAATCGTCAAAAAGTTATTAAGTTAGCCGATTCGTCGCAGCTCGGTTGGAGAGTGGTTCAAGAGTACGAAGCCAACCCGATAGCAGACGATTCGGATGATGAGGAGAAGATGTACAGAGCACAGATGAGGGCCGAGCGGAAAGTTTTCAATGGGAGGAAGCGATGTAGATTTGAACCCTATCAAAAGAAACCGGCAACAGCCACTCGCATGGAGACTGACGAGAAGTCAACGAGCAGTGGAAAACCCGGCAGAAGTTTTGATTGCGGGGCAAAGGGGCACTGGAGTCGAGATTGAACAAAGAAAGATGACAAATCAAATAAGATAAGTGAAAACTTATATGATTTTTTATCTATTTCAAATTTGGCACATTTTAATGATATAATAAATAAAAAATCTCCAGTTGGTCGCTTAAGATCACACTACGATGAGTGGGAGAAAATTGGAACAGGTAAAACAGTCTTGGATGTAATAAAGTCAGGTTATAGAATTCCATTCAAAACTAACCCTATGGCTATTGAATTAAACAACAATAGGTCAGCGAGAGATGAACCAGATTTCGTCACAGGTGAGATCAAAAATTTGGTAGAAAAGGGGTGTGTGTCACGGGTGTCTGAAAAACCTACAGTTGTAAATCCTTTGACTGTGGCTAAAAATAGAAACGGTAAGTCAAGGTTGGTACTTGATTGTAGACATATTAATCCTCATTTACACAAGTTTAAGTTTAGATACGAGGATGCAATAACAGCAAAGGAAATGCTTAAAGTCGGAGATTTTATGTTTACTTTTGACTAAAATCAGCTTATCATCATTTAGAAATATACGAGGAACATCGACAATATTTAGGGTTTTGATGGAAAGAAAATGGAAAAGTTTCTTATTTTGTTTTTAATGTACTACCTTTTGGCATTTCTACAGCAGGGTACATATTTTCTAAAGTTCTTCGAGAAACGGTGAAACGCTTAAGGTCAGAAGGAATAAAGATTATTACATTTTTAGATGACGGTATAGCTGCAGGCAGAACTTTTGATGAGGCATCAAATGCAAGTAATTCAATAATACACATTTTTCAAAATTTGGGCTTCTTGTTTGCAGAAGAAAAATGTAATTGGGTTCCAAGTCAAAATTGTTTATGGTTAGGTCTGCAGTGGAATACAGAAAAAGGTCAAGTTCACATCAGTGGTGACAGAATTCATCGTTTAAATTCTTGCTTAGATGCTTTACACTGCCAAGTACAGAAAAATGTTCTTTATGTTCATGTAAAATTTTTGGCTAAAATTTTTGGTCAAATAATATCTATGAAAGTCGTTTTTGGTGATATTGTTAGAATGAGAACAAGATTTTTATATTACTGCATATCAAGCAAAGCTAGCTGGGAAGCTCAGGTAAAAATAACTGTGGAAGCCTTGAAAGAAATTGAGTTTTGGCGCAGAAGTGTGTCAACATTGAATGAAAATGGTTGTTCAATTGATTTGGTAAGCGCATCAGATGTATGCAATTTGTATTTATATGCGATGCCTCAGATGTAGGCTTTGGTGGTTATTTTGAAAGTTTGAATGAGAGAAATGAAAATGTTTTTATGGGTAGTGTAGTTGGAAATTGGACAGAAGAAGAAGCGATGCAGAGCTCAACATGGAGAGAGCTTGAAACTGTTAACAGGGTTATAAAAAGTAAAGTCAATATCATTGAAAACACAAAGGTAAATGTAATTTCGGACAGTAAAAACGTTTCCAAAATTATGCAAGTTGGGAGCAAAAAGCCATATTTACAAGTCATTGCAAATCAAATATTTGAGACTTGTAGTGAAAACAGTGTTCAGGTTCAAAATGTATGGAAGCCTAGATATGAAAACAAAAGGGCAGATTTTTTGAGCCGTGTAACTGACATGGATGATTGGTCAGTTCACGATGAGGTATTTGACATTTATGAGAAATTGTGGGGAGTTCATACTGTTGATAGGTTTGCAACTCATTACAATAAAAAATGTGAAAGATTCAATTCAAAATATTGGTGTCCTGGTACAGAAGCAATTGACGCTTTTACACAGGTATGGGAAAGTGAAAATAATTGGTTAGTTCCCCCGCCCAGTTTTATACCTAGAGTTATTAACAAAATGGTAGCGGAAAAGGCCTCAGGAACGTTGATTATTCCAGAGTGGAAGTCATCTCCATATTGGCCTTTGATATTTGAGGGAAACTGTTTCAAACATTTTGTTAAATTTTATGATTATTTGCCTAATGAAAAATTAATAACGCATGGCAAGAGTAACAAATTAGTATTTGCAAAATTTCCATTGAAATTTAAGATGTTGGTATTGAGGATCCAATTCTAAAATTGACAGTGCACAAGATTATGAATATATTTTTTAATGGTAATGAATATTTTTTCCAGGATTAGGAGTGCAGTTACATATAAACAAAGCAGTTACTGATAATGGCATTTCATTGGGCAGCAAGCTGGGGTCTTTCATTGAGCATATGTGTGGATATCTCTTATCATCGAAGAGTGAGGGCACCAACAAGGCCTACAAACATAATTTTCAACGATGGAAGAAGTTCATAAATGAGCACCAGCAGAGTGAAATTCCAGCGCAGCCGGTACACGTTGCATTCTATATTACTTATTTGCTAGATTCTGGTGCGTCGTATTCTTCAGTGAACAGTGCTATTTACTCGATTAAATGGATGCATGAAATTAGTGGTTATCCAGATCCTACCGAAAATTCCTTTGTGAAATCATTACAGGAATCAGCAAAACGTTTAACTGGTAGACCGGTGCGCAGGAAAGATCCAGTCGACCGTCAGATGTTACAAGATTTGTGTGATTTGTATACTGACAGTACAGATGTTCTTTTATTGAGAAATTTAACTATGATTTTGATAGCTTTTGCTGGTTTTTTGAGATTTGACGAACTGAGTTCTTTGAAATGCAATAATATCATTGTTGAACAAAATTATTTAAAAATTATTATTGAAAAATGCAAAAACGATCAATATAGAGATGGAAATGAAGTACTTATTGCAAAAGGTACCACAAGCGCTTGTCCATATGCCATGTTTCTACGTTATACAAAAGAGGCGGGAATTGATTTATGTTCTGATCATTTTATTTTTAAGCCCGCTTTTAGAAGTAATGGTTTTTCAAAATTAATAGTTAAAAATAAGAAGCTTAGTTATACTGCAGCAAAGCAAAACATTGTTACTCTTTTAAAACAGTAGCTCCAAATTTAAATATTGGTCTCCATTCTCTTAGATCAGGAGGTGCAACTGCTGCTGCAAATGTTGGTGTTAATGAAAGGTGTTTACAAAGGCACGGGCGATGGAAATCTGTGTCTAGCAAAAATGTTTATGTTAAAGACTCTTTAGAAAAAAGGTTACATGTGTCAAAACAATTGTTGTTGTGAGTTATACATATATTTTTTTCTCGCTCTTTTCTCTCCCTTTCTTTGGAAATGTCTATCGTCAACCTGCTCGGTGCGCTACAATGCATACTAATTAAGGTGTTGTGTTTATATATAAAGGTGCATAGTGAAATGAAGTGTGGACATAAATATATATGCTCCTGGCTAGTGGCTACATGTGCTTGTAAAATATATTCCTTGGTGTTTCAATAAACTTGAACACGTCGTGTAACTAATGACCTATATCCTTAGTATAAAGGTCCCTGGTGTAAGTAAATCTCACCGATGCAAATATTTGAAAAGCAATCCGCGTCGATACAGGAATGTAAAATTTATTTTATTTAGATTTTCTGCCTGCTCAGCGAGAAAAAAAGTCTTTTGATCTTGGTACATGTACCCATTCTAATAAATGAACATAGCTGTATACGACAGCAGTGTGTCTGTCATAGTATCTAATGACACGGTATCTTTAGGTGACACAGCTCTTTTTCTTTATTGTCAACCGATTAATTATTTTTTCAATCGACCTTTGTTCATTATCTTCAACTTTAACATTTGTTTTGACAATTATATTTTACATGCTGTCCAGCCGCGAATCCAAAAAATTTTCCAGGAGGGGGGGATATTCCACCCCAATTCCCCAAAAAATTAATGCAAATTCCATTTCCTTAACGTGAAAAAAACCTATTTCGTGGTGGGATCCACGCTTTCGGGGGGGGGGGAGGGGGTTCAAAGTCATTTTTTATTTGCTTCAATATAACTTGGTTCGGAATACCCCCCCTCCCCTTACAGGTTAGGGCATGCTGTCAGTATTAATTTTAATCGGAGAAATTCAATATTAACAGTATAATACAAGATCAGTTTATGTAAAAGAGGCACAAGTAAATTATATGTAATTGCCGATGGACAGTGAATTGTATAATCTGTATAAAAACTGTAGACATGATTTTCTAAGAAATATTGACATTTCAAATTTACAAAATAACGATTTAAATGTTCTAGTCAGATATCTATTAACTCATTTCTCACGTCAAAATGCGAGTTTCAAATATAATGCATATAACATACACTGTAAGACAAAGAAAAATCACACGCATGTAATTAATATATATTGCTAAAAGTGATTTATAGGTCCGATGGGCCGGGTGTTGTACATATATGCTTATTTATCTAATGAACGTAATATTATTGTATACACAAGTCACTATGTATAATAAAATATTTACTTAACTTATTGTATATAATTTTAAAGCAAAATTCATGCGAAAACCCTTTTTAGCTCACCTGAGCCGAAGGCTCAAGTGAGCTTTTCTGATCACTTTTTGTCCGTCGTCCGTCTGTCCGTCCGTCCGTCTGTCCGTCTGTAAACTTTTCACATTTTCGACTTCTTCTCAAGAACCACTGGGCCAAATTCAACCAAACTTGCCACAAAGTATCCTTGGGTGAAGGGAATTCAAGTTTATTCAAATGAAGGGCCACGCCCTCTTTCAAGGGGAGATAATTAGGAATTAGTGAAAAAATAATGGCATCATTTAAAAATCTTTTTCTCAAGAACCACTGGACCAAGAAAGATGAAACTTATGTGGAAACATCCTCAGGTGGTGTAGATTCAAGTTTGTTCAAATCATGACCCCCGGGGGTAGGGTGGGGCGACAATGGGGGATCAAAGTTCTACATAGATATATATAGGAAAATATCTTTAAAAATCTTCTTCTTAAGAACAGTAAAGCCATGATTGGTCATATTTATAGGGAAACATCCTTAGGTGGTGTAGATTCAAGTTTGTTCAAATCATGACCCCCGGGGGTAGGGTGGGGCCACAATGGGGGATCAAAGTTCTACATAGATATATATAGGAAAATATCTTTAAAAATCTTCTTAAGAACAGTAAAGCCATGATTGGTCATATTTATAGGGAAGCATCCTGAGGTGGTGTAGATTCAAGTTTGTTCAAATCATGACCCCCGGGGGTAGGGTGGGGCCACAATGGGGGATCAAAGTTCTACATAGACATATATAGGAAAATATCTTTAGAAATCTTCTTCTTAAGAACAGTAAAGCCATGATTGGTCATATTTATAGGGAAGCATCCTGAGGTGGTGTAGATTCAAGTTTGTTCAAATCATGACCCCCGGGGGTAGGGTGGGGCCACAATGAGGGATCAAAGTTTTACATAGAAATATATAGGAAAATATCTTTAGAAATCTTCTTCTTAAGAACAGTAAAGCCATGATTGGTCATATTTATAGGGAAGCATCCTCAGGTGGTGTAGATTCAAGTTTGTTCAAATCATGACCCCCGGGGGTAGGATGGGGCCACAATGGGGGATCAAAGTTCTACATAGATATATATAGGAAAATATCTTTAAAAATCTTCTTATTAAGAA